CAGCCTGTGATAAAACTAATGAGAACAGTATCAAAGCAATAAAGCGTAATGCCAAAACCTCACGCAATCTTCAACTCTCAGAGGACATCGAGTTTATTACACATGTACGCAGTTCTATCACGTGGCATCCCAGATGCCACCTCGCCTTTCTGATTTAGCTTGAAAGGGTGTCTCCCATCTCCTGCGACGGTCCCTGTACGTTCGTCCTCCCCACCAGCACGGAACAGCCGCTGGCCCCGGGTCCTCCGTGCATGACGACGGCTCTGCTCAGGCCTCGGGCTGCCTCGCTCCTAACCGTGCTAACCTGTCGGCTTCTTCGTTGCCTACAAATCCCGAATGACCCGGAATGTGCATCTGTCAAAGAGATTTGTTCCATTTTTATATCCTCATGGTTAAAATGAAAGCCCACTACCGAGACAGGCCGGGCAGAGGAGGTGCCCCTCACGGCCCTCCCCTCAGCGGTCCTAACCCCACGAGGCCTGCTCCTCAGGCCCCGAGGCCGGGACACCTGACTCCGTCAGACTCTCCCCAAGTCGGACCCCACAGTTTGCATTGCTTTCCTCCACTTAGTGATGGGCTGTGGTGGGCTTTCCGGGCAAAGCACACGTGTGCACGAATGGACGGACGGACGTGCATCCGACACTCACACGTGCACACACACTAGTGTGCAGATGCCGTTAAAGAGAAGCGCCGTGCTTGCTCAACCACTGTGCACACTTACGAGGCTGCAAGGCCAAGCTTAGGCGTCAGGTTTGCAGACCGCCCCAGCAGTCCTGGGCTGGGGGAGCCAGGGCTGGTAAAAAGCGGGTGTGGCTTACTTCTGTATTGTTAAAAAAGTAATTTTAGCAAAAATGATCTATTATAGGAAAAATACTTGCATCAAGGAAAAACAATCCTGTTACTAAGGTCTCATCGCACAACTTTAACGAAATACGTTATAAATAGTTTTGTTGAGGTTATAAGCAGGTTGACCTTCCCGTGTCACTTTCGCAGTGGCGTGTCCGGGCGAGGACACCGCAGGCACACCGGGCAGTGTGTCCTGTGCACAGTGCCCCTTGTTAAATAAAGCAGCATTACTTACACACGATGAAAATGACACACGTGCTCTCATACACTGTAGATGTGAGTGACGTGGAAACTGTCGCTCTAACCTAGGTCGCTAAGTCGCTTACAGACCGTGCATCCCTCCAGATCACCGGACCTGTGGCCTGGGGCCGTGATGCTCACCCACTGAATGTCCATGCCCTGGGTGAGCCTCTCCAGCTCCGCGAAGTCCTCCTTGTTGATCACCTCCTTCCCCGTGCTCGTCCGCCATCCGTTTTTCTTCCACCCTTCAACCCAGTTAGTGATACCTGGGAGAAACGCCCTCACACACTGGTTAGTCTCGGATGCCCCGGTCTCTCCTCCCTGGACGTCCCGCTCACTCCCTCCGTCTTGTATTCTGGTGGCAGTCCGGACATCTCATTCCCTTCCCTGGGCCGTGCTTGGGCTTCTGGCACAGACCCAGAGCAGGCCTTGTCTGGTCCCTTTGCTCTCATCTGTACTTGACCTAGCTCCCAGGCCAAGATGTCACCTCCTCCAGGAAGCCTTCCCAGACTTCAGCATCCCTCCCTGCGCTCCTACACATGGTACTGCTAAGGCCATTGGGACACTTAGACTTGGAGTGCCATGGAGCAGGGACATATCTACCTTACTGCCATGTCTCTGGTGCCTGGCAAAGAAATATCGACGTGGCAAATACCGGAACAGCAGGCTCGGAACCCTGAATCCACACCCTGTCCCTTGTACCTGACAAACCAAACGTATCCCTATTTACATGAGGGTCCCACCCGACTGGGGAAGGAAACAGCCGTTTCCCTGCAAATCTACTAGAGAAACACTAGAAGCAAAACGTGGCGGGCTACCGTTGATGGTGAACATGCTGTCGGTGTACAGAGCCAGCTTGCTGATGCGCTGCGCCCTGGCCTGCTCGATGGCTTTGCAGGCCGCCTGGAAGAGACAAGCCCGTCGTCACGCTGCAGGAGTCGCTTGACTACCAACGCCACTGCTGTTCAGAATCACTTCGCAGTGTACACGACCCTCCCTTGTCTGTGCAAACTGCAAAGGCTGCAGTCTACGGGGAATAACGCAGCACGCACGATTCTGTTTGGACACCCATCTGAAATAAGCTTCATTGTTTTTCTGGAAAATTCCCATCCTTCAGAGTTGTCACTAGCCTCCGACTAAGTTTCTCCTGCATTCTGAATATCTTACACACAGATAGTAAAAGTTCATTAATAAGTTCATAGTCAACACCAAAGAATGATAACCTTACAATTTCAGAGGAAAAACACGTCTGATAACTTACATGAATTTCTGCTCTCTGGTTGGTTTGTCGCCCGGGGAGTCTAACGCTTATGTTTCTGGTTTAGAAATAGTACAGAAGAAAATAAAATTACAAAGCTAATTCTCAAAGCGACTCTTTAAGGCTCCTAAGAGGTACCAGGCTGGCACACGCTTCTGTCTGAAACGTGAGAGCGCCACGTAACAGCAGCCGTCCGGGCTGCGCCCCGCTGAGAAGCAGGGGGAAGCGTGTGCCTGGACCCGACACACATGGCGTGGGCCCAGGGCCGGCGCCACAGAGCTCCAGAGAAACGCCACCAACGGGTGGTCCCCACCGAGCACGCCTCGCACCACCGCGGTGATGCAGACCCCAAGGACAGGCCAGGGCCGGGCACGCCTCCTGTCCCACATGGAGCTGCAGCCCCAGCTCTCAGGTCCAGGGCCAGGTGTGTCTGAATGATCACATGCATGTCACCGTGGCTCTGTGCCTGTGACGAACAGGGGATCGCCCGGAAGCTCTCACATCTTCGGGAGAGTCGTGTGATATGATGGCTTCTGCGTCCTGTGACCGCCCCCGCCCTCCCGGCATCCTTGCCAAAACCAACGTGACTCTTTTTCGGGGGCAGTTAGGTCACATTGGTGCAAAATCAGTGAGACACAGAGACTCGACAAGCCACAAGGACAGGAGAGCCACGCTAGGATGTTTTATGTTCCGGAGAACAGGCTGTTGCTGGCCACGGGAACCAAAGCTTGTCCTGCTGTGCCCGGCCAAAGCCGTTCATCAAAGCGACAGGATGCAGATCCTGCCTCACCCTTTCACAAGTTTTGGACTATGACTCAGTAAAATCTGAAGCTCTCACCATAAATTTAAAAACAAACAAACGAAACCAAACCAAACTCGAAGCTCCACGACTCAGCTTTCCGTGTGTACTTACAGAGGATGGCCGGGGCCCCAGTAAACGCCGATGCCCGCCCGCGCCCTGTGCCGCCCGTTCCTGGAGCAGCAGCCGTCAGTGTAGACGATGGCATGTTCCCCTGTAAGACAGGAGCGTGCTGAGTGCCACTGGTCCGACAGCACGGACTCTGAAATTCACCTGAAAATCTGCCAAGGCAGACGCAGCAGCTCAAGCTGGGAGGGTCCTTTACAATTCAGTGGAAGTTTCTGTCTAAAAGTCACGGTCGCGTCCCGCACGGGGGCACTGCACCCTCTCCGCCTGGAGCCCAGGCGCGTCAGTGGTGGTGGCCCCACTCCATAAACCCAGAACCCGGTGCCGGGGGAGGGGGGGCTGCTGCTCCTCGCCCGCTGCAGGGGTCAGAGAGCAACACCACTGTCCCCGTCCTCACGCTTCTCCCAGGAGCCGTCCTTCCAGACAGGCGGTGCCTCGGCACGACAGGAGGTCAAGTGCTCTGACGAACACTGCTCTCGTTTTTTCCTTAGTGGATTTACCACCAGTAAACTGTGGTTCCCCCGTCTTTTCTCCTTTCCATCAAGACAGAGGGTTTGATCGACATACGGCTGTAAAGAGCCGAGTAGCAAAGGACTGATACGAGGCCAGTGTCCGGCCGCTGACGACCAGCAGGACACTCTCAGTGACACAGGGGGAGAAGTTAGGTTGGTGGGCGTCAGAGGGGTAGGTGGCTGTAAAGAGGCTGCACGCATGTGAGGCGTTTGTCGAAAGCGTGGCAGAGGCAAAGGGCAGGGCAGGGTGGTGGAGGGCGGGGGCGGGCTCCCAGCGGGCCGGGCCGGGCGGCTGCTGGCCAAGCGTCCTTGGTTCCACGGGCCCGACGCTGCCAGCATAACTGCAAACCTCCCTCCTCGTCACTGGATTCTGCTCGACCTCCAGCTCCTATCGTGTGCCAGGCACCACGTCAGGTGCCACTGGGCTCCAAGCAGCTCAGTACATGGGAAGGGCTCACCTCCCAACTAGTCCACAGATGTGTGTTTCGATTACTATTGGTAAAAACCAAATTGAGGACTTTGGGGGTTTTTAACGTAACTGCAAAAATGACTCACACGGTTCTGACACAGCCTGACAAGACATTTTCTATTGGTTTCCCCTGACTGAATTACAAAACGGTTCTTTTCAGGAGAAAACATGGAACCTACGAATACACTGATTTATGTAAAAAAATGATACTTATTCTTACATTATTTTATACATGTAAAAGACAAAAGAGACTTATACTGCAAGTCACCGAACATAAGCAAGTGGCTCCTGGAGCTAAGGCGGGGGACGTTCACCACCTTGCTCCTCAGGAGAGGAGGGGGTAACGAGCTGGCGAAGACCCACCGGACGGGGTGGAGACGCGGGTGCCCACCGGTCGGAAGCAGGAGCGTGGCCCAGGCCCGCTCACCAGGAGACGCTGCAGGCTGTGCCTTCCCTGTCTTAGGGACCCGCGATGCTGTGCACGCAGGGGACACCACTGTTTCAAGATGTGTCTCCCATGTCAGCTTATCGGAAGGTTTTCCTACGACCGTCCAAAGTTTTAATAATTCTGCACCATTTTATCAATTATAAAATAATAGCCTTAGATTTTTAAATAAGATGCCTATTCAGACAAGAACGAGGATGTTAACTATCAGCTCAAATTCCCGCATTTAAAAAAGTGAGAAAAGTTTTACACACAGTTCCATTATGTATTAAAAATTTAAAAACCCAAGACATACCCATATACGAGAATGTGTCCTTGCCAACGGCAGGCGCCGGCCCCGCGCGCGGTTTCGCGAGCTTCGCGCACGGCTCCGAGTCCTCGTCTCCGTCGGCTGGGGGCTCGCGGAGGCGCTTGCTGGCCTTCGCTTCCGATTCCTGCACAGGTTCATCTTTCTGCCCTGAAAGACAGAGTCTGCTCAGAAGCCAGGAACAGTGAACCCAGTGGGAAATGAAGAATCCAGAAAGTCGGTTATTTCACATCACCGAATCAGACCCAAACGCCCTGTGCGCGGGGCCCTGTAGGAAGGAATGGCCTGAGGCAGCTCACGCCGTCTCCGACTTCGATGTCCTGTGAAAGGGCTCTCAATTCTCCACGAAAAGCTTGATGAATGCGACGTTAAGACAAAAGTTTGTTACAAAGAAACCTGGTTTCCATGTAAACAGTAGAGACACCAAGGGTTCCGAGCCCTTTGGGGATCGTAGGCGGTTTGGAAATCTGACGGGCTCTTCCCCAGAAACAAGGACCAGAAAATCCGGGTGTCCGAGTTCAATGCGCCGTCCTCCCCGCCCCAGACACTCCGACCACACGGGTGCCAAGGCGAGAACCTCTGGGAAGTTAAGACGCCCAGGGAAGTGGACGCGACAGGAACTGGGGACTGTCCCCCTCCAGGGCCAGGGCAGAGCCTGCCCTCAGCAGCCCGGCCGGGGGATGAGGTCACCTGAGGGGTCCCACACGCTCTGTCAGCTTACAAGGGGGCAGCAGTCTCGCCCTGACTCAAACGTCACTGCGGTAGCTGAAGCAGAAACCAGACTAAGACGTGACGAAGCACTTTCAACGTGAGCTCTCCTGGGGATGCGGGCAGCTAACTGCCTCACCGCCTCGGCCGAGGAGCTGGCAAGCAGCTCTTCCTCCGCCATCGTTCTCCGGAGTGGGGAGAGGGCACGGAGGGAGCGACTAACTGCCACTCCAAAACGGCCACCTCACCCAGCACCCTGACGTCAGCTGCAGCTCCAAGTGTCCAAGGGGAAGGAAGAGTCGCGCGTTCCTCACTTTGATCAAAAGCTAAAAACGGTCCAGCCCGGTGCGGAAGGCACGTCGAAAGCCGAGACAGGCCGACAGCTAGGCCCCTCGTGCCAAACGGCCGAGCTGTGACTAGGAAGGAAAAGGCCTTGCAGGAAGTGGAAAGTGCTGGCCCCGCGAGCACACGTGTGACGAGGAAGCGACACGGCCTGATGGCCAATGCGGAGGAGGCTTTAGTGCTCGGACAGAGGACCAAACCGGCACGACATTCCCTCCGGCCAAAGCCTCACCTGGAGTTGCCCCAACTCCCTCCGCCCCACGCAGGCTGAGAGGTGAGGAGGCTGCAGACGGAAAGCAGGGGGCTGGCGAGGCTGGCCCGTGAGGTTCAGGGAAAGACGCCGTCTCCGTGACAGGAAAGTGCACATGGAGCGGCACGTGCTGAGGGGGCAGCCGCAGCGGTCACCCAGGCCCAGCTAAGATACTTCACGAAGGCGGCTGCACAGAACACCAGATTTTCAGTGTAGATCGAACAGCCTCATTGGGAAGAATAAGCCACCTGGGATTTTTGTGGCCAGGAGAAGTCAGTGCCCGGCCCTAAAGCTTCGAGGACAGGCGGACTCTCTTGCTGGGGGCTGCTGCGGCGGTGACTTTCAGCAGAAGCCAGCGCTCACTGCCCATTCCGAAAACCCCAGGGCCCTTCAGAGTCACGCTAAACCTGTGCCCTGCAGAGGGAACGGCGAGCCTGGACGGCAGCGCGTCTGCTCACGGCGTGGTTCGCGGAGCATTGTCAGCCCACCGCTGAGACCTGCTGCTCAGGGGGAAAAAAGCAAGTCCTTTTTAAAAGATGGAGTTAAGTAGAGGGAAACACTGAATAAAAGAGGAGAGCTGAGTCGGCCGGTGTCTGACACTGCTCCGGGAGGGGACCGCTCAGCTAAATCGCTTTCCGCCTGGCGCTAACCTGAAAATGCAAACATGGAAACATAGTATCTTTTCCACCTGCTTATCAGATAGGTACACAGAGCAAGTGACATCTGGGCTGCAGAAGGCTCTAAGTGGGTTAAAAGGTCACGGCGATGTGAGTGGCCGCTACCTTCTGCCCCGCCAGGGCTCCCGGAGTTTCTGACAAAGGCCCAGGCTTCCTCTTCCGTGGCAAACTTCTTAAATCTGGCGGCAGGAAAGCGGTCCACCTGCGCTCTACACTCGCTCCTGGAAAAGAGAGCCGCGTCACTTGCTTCCTCCTCCTCCTCGCTTTTCCTTCCCCTCTTTTACGCGATTCTTCTCACGGGCTGGGAATCGTGTGCAAACCGCGGGGCTGTCGGCTCCGGGAGCCGAGGGTCGCGCCCACCGTCTGCAGTTTCACCTTGCATGCCCAACCCTTCGCCCCATGTCACACTGGCTTTCCCCAAACTCACAGCACACCGGCACTTCGGGGCCCTTGAAAAGCACCCCATTCCCTCGCCCGGAGAGGCGCGGCTCTCTCACCAGGTCAGGAAGACTCCGGCCCTGCGGCCCCTCCTCACGGCGTAGAACATGCCGAGCGCGCCGCAACCGCAGCCACGGCGCACGGCGGCCAGAGCGACTCTGCGCGCCACGCCCAGAAGCCTGGTCATAGTTGCCTCCCCGGCACCGCCGCGCGCCCGCACTCCCAGCTTCGCGCCGCCATCACGCCGACCCAACTTCCGGCAGCGGCGCGGGCAGTTGACACACGTCCTGGGGGCGGGGTCTAGGGCCGGGCGGGCCCAGGGGCGGGGCCTACGGAGCAGAGGCGGGGCCTGAGAAGAGGCG